AAAAACTACAAAACTCGATTTAAATAAAATCAATTTGCAACGCAACATTTGGTGCCTCCTGTGAGGTTCTTTCCTGGAGATAGACTTCACATCGAATGTCAACTACCACATCAGCGGTCTTTGCATCATGACTTCTGAACTGCAACAATTAATTGTGGAGCAAAGGGCTATGCTCACAAATATCGAGAAAGTTCTGCGAAACACAAAGAAGGATAGTGCTTCAAGGAAAACGGAGGTGTATATACGTACGCGATTAGAATCAGTCGCTCAATTACACCTTGAATTTCGGCAGAATCATCGCACTCTAATGCGTGCCAGTGACACTGATGAAGTTAACGAAGGTTACGTAACTCCTGAAATTGGCGAAAAATTTGAGGAAGTATACATCGATTTGGTATCACTATTGCGGAGTGACTTGCCCACACCATCTACGACACCACCGGCAATACAAGAAGATAGTCGCAGTGTCAACTCTCTATTCGAACGTAGCACGGATGAGCTAAAGTTGCCTACAGTTAAATTGCCAGTCTTCAGTGGTAAGTTCACTGACTGGCCAGCATTCAAAGAAGTATTCGAGGAACATATTCACAAATACGCCCGCTTTAGTAATCTTTATCGCTTCTATTACCTAAAGGATTCCTTGAGCGAGGAAGCAGCTCGAGATATCCAACACCTATCCATTACAGAAGCAAATTATCCCGTAGCCTGGCAGATGCTTATCAACATATACGATAACAAACGAGTGTTATTCGTACACTACATGGACATGTTTGAACAACAACCTTCCGTGGCCCATGACGACCCTGCGGCATTAAAGCAATTCATACAAACTTGTCGGTCATGCGTAAACTCAATTGATCATCTTGGAGTAGATCTCAAACAGAATCAAATCTTGGTATATCTAATGGCTCGCAAGCTTTCGAATAATGCAAGGTTAGAATGGGAAAAGTCCTTGTCTATCACACAAAATATTCCAACTTTTGAGCAGTTCTGTGCATACTTGGATGCACAATATCGCACAATGATCACGGCATCTACTAACGCGGCATCAGCATCGCATCAACGGATTACTTCGACCCGGGACTCTTCTACAAGATCAAAGAGGGAAGTGAAAACTTCCTTTAGTACCGGTGCTAAGCATATGTGCGTTATCTGCAAAACTGGAAACCATCCCATACGTGAATGCTCGACATTTCTCAACATGCAAATGGCCGATCGCAAGTCGGCGATAGGGAAACATAAACTTTGTTTTAATTGCTTAGGATACAACCATATAGTCTCAAGGTGTCCAAGTCGACACCTATGCAATCATTGTGGAGGGCACCATCATACTCTCATACATGTGGACCGACCTGCGACAGCCGCTAACAGTACACCAGTACAGCGCGACAGCAACACTCCACAAATCACCAACACTTCGGCTGATGTTACCGAGAAATCCACATTGACTTCGTATGCATCAAATTGTGAAGTCTTACTCCCTACAGCTGTCGTAAGCGTGCAAGCAAAAGATGGAGCGGTATTAGATTTCCGTGTGTTTCTAGATCAAGGGTCGCAAGTATCGTTCATAACAGAGAGGGCATCTCAAATGCTGCGGCTGCGTCGAAAGGAGGTGCATGTTCGCATCAACGGTCTGGCAAACATGAAAATCACCGAAGCTTCGTCTTCTGTGAACTTTAAATTTCATTCTAAATACAATATCCAAAATTCCTTTGAGGTCAACGCATACGTATTGCCACATGTTGGATCCAGAATGCCGGAACGTCGTTTATTAACCGATCAATGGGAGCATCTTAAGGGTTTACAACTGGCAGATCCCACGTACTACATTCCTCAATCTGTCGATCTATTGCTCGGTAGTGACATCTATGATGAACTGATGTTGGATGACATTCGTCGTGGTCCAAAGGGTGCTCCTTTGGCTCAAAGTACCGCCTTGGGATTCATTATTTCAGGAAAGGTCGGTGAGGGTGACCAGTCAAAGTTAACTCAGAATATTTCAGTTGCTTCTGATGAAACATTCGAGGAGTTGGAATCATTATTACACAAATTTTGGGAGCTGGAAGACATAACCACCTCAAAACCTGTCCTTTCAGATTCTGAGAAATGGTGCGAGGAATTCTTCAAATCTTCACATCGTCGTTTGGATACTGGTAAATATCTGGTAAGATTACCGTTATTGTCTCATTTAGATCCCAAATTAGTCGTTGGATCTTCATACGAGCCAGCCCTCAAAAGACTAAACCAACTACAAAGGCGGTTATCCGCAAATCCTAATCTTAAATCTGTGTACAGTTTAACGATTCGTGAATACCTAGAGTTGGGTCAGATGAAAAAACTAACCAACATTGATTGTGCGCAATCGCATGCTACAAATAGGGGTGTACCGTATTGTTATCTTTCACATCATCCGGTAATGAAAGAATCCTCAACCACCACGAAGGTACGTGTGGTCTTCGACGGATCCATGCAAACTAGCAATGGAAAATCTTTAAATGAAATACTGGCTGTGGGTCCCAAATTACATACAGATTTGACGGCAATACTAATCAATTGGCGGTTTCTTAAATACGTATTTTTAACTGATGTGGAAAAAATGTATAGGTGCATTGATGTCGCTCCAGAAGATGCACATTTTCAACGCATATTGTGGTATAATGATCTTACTGGTCAATTGGAGCATTATATGTGCACGACGGTCATGTTCGGAACAAGATCGGCGCCTTTTACAGCAATTCGAACAATGCAGCAATTAGCATCTGATGAGGCAGCAACTTATCCACTAGCTGTAAAGGTTATTAAACAGCAAATGTATGTCGATGACATATTGTCCGGAGCAGAGTCGAAGGAAACGGCAGTGGAGATTCAAAATCAGGTAATCGGAATGTTAAATAGCGGTACGTTCCAATTACGCAAATGGGCCAGCAACTGTCCCGAGTTACTGGAAAATATACCTATGGAGCATCGCGAATTGAAACAGTTGTCACAATTAACCTCCGATGAAACCATTAAAGCCTTGGGAATATATTGGAATCCTGTCGAGGATGAGTTTCGATTTAAAATAAATTTCAAGGCGCCTACAGGTGATCCAACAAAGAGGAAGGTGTTATCGACCATTGCGCGACTTTTCGACCCAATGGGCTGGTTAGCTCCAGTGCTCATATCAGCAAAGATTTTCATGCAGCGTTTATGGCGAGCACATATAGGCTGGGACCAAACTTTACCCAGTAATCTAGCGCGTATTTGGACTGAGTTTGTGGATAATCTTGAACGGATATCAGATATACGAATTTCTCGTTTCATTATGTGCAACGCTGGTGCTAATACACAGTTACACATATTTTGCGATGCATCGTCATCGGCTTATGGAGCAGCTGCGTATCTTCGTACTCAGCGAGACGAAACAAATTATCAAGTTCAGCTACTTTTAGCCAGATGCAAGGTTTTACCTATGAAACCACAACTAACAATTCCAAGAGCGGAATTATGTGCTGCTGTGTTAGCCGTGAAAATATTCAGGTATTTTGAACAAAACTGTAACGCAAATATATATTTACAGAAAACAATATTTTGGACCGACTCCACAATTGTGCTCAGTTGGATTAGAGGCGGGCCGAGCAAGTGGAAGATGTTTGTCAGTAACAGAGTCGATAAAATACTTCAAGTGTCAAAAGCAAGTCAGTGGCGTCATGTGTCTTCAGAATATAATCCTGCTGATCATCCCAGTCGGGGACTCAAGCCAAACAACTTACTCGCAAATACTCTATGGTGGCAGGGGCCACAGTGGCTGAGCGAAATTGAAGAAAAGTGGCCTGAATGCAGTGAAGACGACAGCACCGTACCATCGGAAATCACCGATGAAGTGAAATCCATTCGATGTCAAGCTACTGCTGTTGTCCAAACAGAAGAATTGGCGATTGTAAAACGATTCTCCTCTTATACTCGAATGATACGCGTATTATCTTACTGCAGGCGATTTGTGCGAAATTGTAGTGTAACTGCTTTGATGCGTGTCTACACCCCTCTTTCCGTCATTGACCTACAAAAAAGTTTGGTGTGCATCCTTCGCATAGTGCAAAGAGAAAGCTTTGCATCCGAATTTAAGGCATTGTCTTCAGGCAAACCAATACCGAAGGATAGCATTTTACTTTCGTTGAATCCCTGTTTCGACGAACAGGAACGAGTCATCCGACTTGGCGGTCGGCTTAGCCATGCTCTGCTTTCACCCAATGAACGTCATCCGTACCTCCTACCATCCAAGGGTAACTTTACCGAATTGGTAGTAAACTACAGCCATCTCATGACATTGCACGGAGGTGTTTCCCTCACTTTATGTCACATTCGTAAAAGGTTCTGGATAGTGAAAGGGCGACAGGCAGCCCGAGCGGTCATTCACCGCTGCATGAAGTGCTACAGGGTGCAACCTAGGGCCTTGGAACAGAAGATGGCCGATCTACCTGCCGTACGAGTAAGGCCAGCAAAACCATTCACATCGGTCGGAGTCGACTATGCCGGTCCAATAAGTATATCACCATCTAAAGGACGCGGTCGGACTGCGTTGAAGGGCTATGTCGCAGTATTCATTTGTTTAGTAACCAAGGCGATACATTTAGAGCCAGTCGGCGACCTGTCATCCGATGCTTTTATCGGTGCTTTTCACCGCTTCATAGGAAGACGAGGTCTCTGTCATGACATATATAGTGACTGCGGCACTAATTTCGTTGGTGCAAATGCCAAGATACAGTGTGACAAACGGACATATAAAAAGTACATTGAAACGGAAATCGCACCGATGTTGACACAACATGCAACAACTTGGCATTTTATCCCTCCGTCAGCTCCCCATTTTGGTGGCCTGTGGGAGGCTGGCGTTAAGTCAATGAAATTTCACTTAAAGAGAACTATTGGCGATCGGGTGTTAACGTTTGAAGAAATCGCTACGGTGCTGGCGCAAATAGAATCCTGCCTCAATTCCCGGCCGCTGTGCCCTATGTCTGATGATCCAGACGACCTATTAGTGCTAACTCCAGGACATTTTTTGACAGGGGACTCGCTCTTAGCACGACCGGTGCCTGACATACCGCAAATCAATTTGGTAGACCGGTGGCGTAGCTGTCAATATATCGTTCAACAATTTTGGCGTAAGTGGAGTAGTGAGTATCTTTCTCGGTTGCAGCAAAGACCAAAGTGGTTGTCCGCCACGCCTAATGTGAAAACTAACGATATAGTTATCATCAAAGATGAACGCTTCCCTCCAAATCAGTGGCCACTTGGACGAATTATTGAACTGCATCCTGGAAAAGATGGACTAATTCGGGTCGTCACATTAAAAACTCGAAACGGTGTAATAAAACGACCTATCGTCAAACTATGTCCACTACCATCTCGAGGAAAAGCTGATGATTATATATCCAATACAGATTCTTCAATGCAATAACTCGAGATCATTTTAATGAGGTCCGTTGCCCTCATCGAGGGGGGAGAATGTTTAATATTACAGCGAAGAAATTTCCGTACATACTAGTAATGTAA